TTTTTTTTATAACTATAGTTACTTGATGCTCTGAGAATTCCTTTGAAAGCAATAATGGCTACTTTAGTTGCTTAGACAATTATTTGTGATCCATTTAGTTCGCACATTATTAAGTTATGAATAATTTTTCCTGCTGTGTATTTCTCCTAATAGTAGTCATCATATGATGTGCTGCCGAGAGTTTTTCTGCTGCTGAGAGTTTTTCATCACTAAGAAGTATCAATGTCATGTTCCTGCTGCTCTTATCTTCCTTTTTTGGTTGAGAATGGTAACAAACTCTTACTTTGTTGTTCCAATGTTATATGAAAGGACATCCCGGTGTACTAAACTCCCGTTATGCGCGAGGTCTGGGGAAGGGTCGGACCACAAAGATCTATTGTACGCAACTTTACCCTGCATTTCTACAAGAGGATGTTTCTACTGCTCGAACCCGTGACCTCCTGATCACATGGCAACAACTTTAATTGATAATGTTAAATGGTTGTGCTTTATATTTCATATCATATTATATAGAAGGGTGTACTTTAGGAATAAATATTAAGATTAGAAATTTAGACTATTAAATAAAGATTTTTTATGAAACGCTTGAAAATAAATGTCTAACCGTACAAAACCCAAGTTGAGCAAACAACAACGTCCATATCTTGGCTTTGAGATGTTAGTAATCGAACCCCACACCTCAGACAATATCAAATCGTAATTTTGTAAATTATTTTACTCTTTTAGTGTATGTACTCTTTTGCTTAACCTCCGTGAAAATCAGTTGGATGGAACATCAACCATTAGCTTTCTCCAACCTGGTTAATAATTTGATTTGCGAGTCATCAAAACTCACATGTCATGGGTAATTATTTATATTTCTCTAAATATTGTTAGCAAAAGTGATATTGATTATATGATGTCTTTTCGTAGCTCACGTATACTTGTGTAGGACTATGCAAGTTTATGCAGAATATCCTGTAAGGCTCAAAATAGCTCACGTATACTTGATGGATGATTTTTAAGATACCACATTTATTATATAACTGATAAATATTGAAGGTAATTTTTTCATGACCCGAAGATATTAGTTGATGTGTATATATATCATCATGCAATTTTTACTTTTAATTTTGTCTGTCTCTATTCTTTTGCATATTGGAATTTTAACCATACATTATCATGAAAATTATTAATTGAATTTGATTTCTTAGTTGCAATGTAAAGTAAAGCTGCAGTAGAATCCAAATGTTGGGCCCGCAAGCGCGGGCGAAGACTCTGAATTAATTGCTCTTCCAAAAATGTGTCTGTAAAGTATATATGCTAAAGTTCATGCATGGACATGAATATACAGAATGATTCTTGCTTTACCTTTATGTGAACTAATTGGGAAATGAATCACTTTATCTAATAAAAGCTAACATGTACTCCACTTATATAGTCCGTTACCTTGTGTTAAAGCCACCGACTTTCGTCTCTTGATTTGTTGTATTGGTAAAACATAAAAGGCAATATGACACTCCAATGATGTACTCCTAATTTTCTTTTGGAGTGTACTGTTTTGTTAGGAACAAAAAGTATGGTAAAAGGCACTTTATTTTGTAATAAATAAAATTGTGATGTCGTGGATTGAACATAACTCTAGCAGAATGTTAATAGATTTAAGTTATATGAACTAACGTGTAAAAATATTTTTTTTATTTTATCAGTGATTTTAACCCGTAATAACAGGTTACTTAATATTTTTGCGGGACTACCAAATATAATTACCATAAAATATTCTAACCTCCTCCAATTTTAGATGTTTACGTATTGCAATTCAAACTTTTTGAATATAGTACGATACATGTTATGCAAATTTGATTAACTCATTGCTAAAATGTAAAGAACCAGCTTGTTGAACCAATAGGGTAAAAGGGGACTTAAACGTATAGTATAAGAAAAAGGCAAAAATATATACCCCTTGTGCCCATTATTATTTTAATTTTGAGAGTAAATGCAATGACCTGGCTAGTCGTTTTGAGTATTATAACTCTGTCCCCCCATTTACTGCTCAATTTATGTTTTATAGTTGTTATGTGACTCGCCGGGGTTATTGGTTCGGGTCCGGTAAAATTTTGGAATGAATTGGAACACTTAGTTTCAAGGTTTAAAGCTTAAGTTAAAATAGTGATTGGATGTCGTCTTATGTGTGAACGATCCCGCAATATAGTTTTGATAATTCCAATTGCTCAGTATAGTGGTTTTGGACTTAGAACCGTATCCGAAAAATTATTTGGAAGTCCGTAGTTAAATTAGGCTTGAAATGACAAAAAACAGAAATTTAAATTTGGAAGTTTGACCGAGAAATTGACTTTTTAATATCAGGGTCGGAGTCCGATTCTGAAAATTGAAATAGGTCCGTTATGTCATTTATGACTTCGTGCAAAATTTGAGGTCAATCGGACTTGATTTGATAGGTTTTGGCATTGCATGTAGAAATTAAAATTTTTTTGTTTCATTAGGCTTAAATTGGGGTATAATTTGTGTTTTTAACGTTGTTTGATGTGATTTGAGGCTTTCGTGTGTTGTTTAAGGACTTGTTGGTGAATTTGGTTGAGGTCCCGGGGGCCTCGGATGAGTTTCGGAGGATTAACGGATTGAATTTTGGACTTGGAAGTTTGCTGGAATTTTCTGATGCATGTACCTAGTTTCCTTATACGCGATCGCATGAACTTGACCGCGATTGCGTAGGCTTGTTCGAGGCAGTGATGATTTTGTTCTTCGCGATCACGTGAAGAGGGTTGCGATCGCGTAGCTGTGGGAGTTTGTGATTCACGAACGCGTGAAAAAGGTCGCGTTCGCATAGAGTAAGTAGAGCTGAAGTGGAGGTCACGCATTTGTGCTTCGCGATCGCGTGGACGAGTCCGTGATCGCGTAGGCCTGTGAGGTTGAGCTTTGCGATCGCCTGGACAGGCCCGCGATCGCGTAGAGCAAATGTCTAGGCAGAGAGTTTATGTTCTGCCATTTTTGATGAATTGGAGCTCGGGAAGAGGTAATTTTTGGGAGATTTTAAAGGAAAATAATGGAGTAAGTGTTCTTAACTCAATATTGGTCAAATTACCTGAATCCATGATTATTTTTAGTATTTAATGGGTGAATTAAGTTGAAAAATTTAGAAAACCCTCTTGGTTTATTTTGAAGATTTGAAGGTCGAGTTGATGTCAGAATTTGGTAAAATTTATATGGTTAGAATCGTGGTTGAATGTGCTTTCGGATTTTGTAACTTTTGTCGAGTTCTGAGACGTGAGCCCCACGGACGATTTTTGAGTGCAATTTCGATTTTTGTTGGAAATTGAGTATTTTCATATGGAATTAATTCCCATAATTTGTATTGACTGAATCAAATTATTTATGACTAGATTCGAGCTATTTGGAGGCCGATTCGCAAGGCAAAGACATTGCAGAATAAAGAATTATACAGTTTGAGGTAAGTAAGAGTTCTAAAATTGGTCTTGAGGGTATGAAACCCAGATTATGTGTTATGTGATTGGTTTTGAGGTGACACACATGTTAGGCGGCGGGCGTGTGGGCGTGCACCGTAGGAATTATGACTTGGTCAATTCCATGGAGCTGTGTAGTTGAATAATCTGCTGTTATCCGGATATTTTTTCACGTATTAGAGAAATTTAACTATAAATCATGTTTAAACCATGTGTTGACACTGTAGGGACCCACAGAGGTCGTGTGTATGTTGAATTATCTACTAAATTACTGTTTTGTACTCAGTCACAGTTTTACTTGTATATTACATCCCGGTCTCTATTGTTCATTATTGATGCATTATATCATTGTTGTTTGGGCTGCTTATCATGATTTCTGAGAACCCGAGAGACTGGAGAGGTTGATGACTGAGTGAAGCCGAGGGCCTGATTGTGAGGATATTTATGGGATCGGCCTGCACGCTGCAACATTTTCATTAATTTATGCCATGATTAGCTTGTTATAGCGCTTGGGCTGAAGGAGCCCCTTCGGAGTTTGTACACCCCCAGTGAGCACAGGTACCTATTGAGTGCGAGTGTAGTGCCGAGTGCCGAGTGCTGAGTGATTGAGAGGAATGAGTGACTGTGAGGAAATAGTGATTGTGAGGTTGGAGTGAATGGGAGGACTGAGTGATTGTTGCTCTGAGAGAATGCATTGATTTTATTATTGTTGCACTTCAGCGGTCATATATCACTGTTTTGAAAAATTCCGAAAGACATTATCTTCTATTTCAGTCGAATTTGATATGAAATTATTATTTGAGTTTTAAATATTGAACTTGAAAGCATGCCTACCTTCTTATGTTGGAAATTACTGTAATTGAACTTAGTTGTGAAGCTCGTCACTATCTTCAACTCTTTATTTAGTATTGTTACTTGCTGAGTTGATTGTACTCATACTATACTCTGCACCTCGTGTGCTGATCCAGGTACCTCCGGACACGACGGTTGCTAGTTTTTCAGAGCTTTATCTATTGGAGACTATCGAGGTAGCTGCTTGACGTCCGCATACCTTGACATTCCTCCTTTCAGTTTTTGTACTGTTCTATATTTTTCAGACAGTGTTTTTTATCAGTAAGACTTTGTTACCCTTTAGATGCTCATGTACTCATTGACACCGTATTTTGGAAGTGATTTATGTCGGTATTAATGAGATTTTTGTATTAACTTTAAATATTATGTTTTCAAGCTTAAATGAAATTGTGGTTTATTGAGGTTGTTGGCTTACATAGTATTCAGATAGCGTCATCACGATATATTAGGATTTTGGGTCGGACACAAATATACTTGATTTCTTTAGCTCTAATTATGTTTCTTAATGATCCTTCACCTGTAGCTCTAATTGTATTTTATTTTCGTTTGTTAATTGTTATTATTGGCATTTTTCTATGGATATATCGATGATTAATGTAATTACTTTTGAGAAACTCATCGGAATGGACGCATTCATGAATGAAAATAATGAAAAAAAACAGTTCGATCATGTTATTGCTGAAATAATAAAACAAAAGAATACTTCATTATAATCAAATAACATAACATGAAAACATATCAAAATACAACTTAACTTCTTTACAAGGCAATTAAAGTTAAGAGCGGAATCTTAGCCTTTTTCACTTTCCACTTTTATGGTACATTTCCCTAGACTTCCTCTTTTCTTCATAATCTCCCATTTCAATGAAGCCTTTGAGTTAATCATCTTTTTGAAAAAGACAACATAAAAATAAAGAAAACAAAAAGAATGCAATTTGACGTTGATCATGTATGTATTCTTTATTTACCTGCAAAAAGTAATAAAAAAACAATCAATTTAAGTAATACGAAAATGAAATCAAATACTTGTATACGAATTTAAAAAGAATGTAAAAGAAAAAAGGAAAAAGGCAAAAGGTGAAAACTGAAAAGTTGTTACCATCTCTTTTAGAAATTTAAAAGGGATAATATTAAAACAATCCCCCACGTATAGATTGGGTTTGTTATTGTTGTTAATATAAAAACAATCAAAAGAGAAAACGAAAAGAAAGGGAAAAAAAGAAAAGAAAATATGAGTTCTTACCATTTCGTCCAAATATTCTTCTTATGAAAGTTAAGAAAATGATGAGAAGTGCAACCCCTGCTAATAATCCAATTATAAGTGCAAATGTCTTCTCATTCTCAAAATGAGAACCTGCAATGAATAAAATGGCACTGATATTTACACTGTAGATGATCTACATATTCACATTAGACAATAAAATTTAATTTATGTTACTTATCACTTATCAACATTGCAAAACCAAAAACCGGCCTCCCTTTCTACTTTTTAGTTCTAGTTATAATTTTGACGTGTGAAATGCTAAAGAAAAAAAAAACGAAATAATCAATTGATAGGGATCTTGCATAATGAGATATCAATTTCTCTTTAAAAGTTACATATTTCATTGCTAATGAAATCAATACATTGTTGTATATAACGTAGTATTAGAGTTTAGAGGTCACGCTTAAGAGTAAGTGATGAATCATTCGTTCCCTTGAGAAAGAGCATGCATCGCAATTACACTAGTCCTAAAAAGAGCTTAATTTTTTGGCATTAACAATGTAATTTTTTTTTACACTGTTAGATTAAAATGACTTACAAGCGATAAGTCGATAATAAGTCTAATTTGGTGATCCAAATAAAAGTAAATAATCTATTGTAATAAGTAATAACTATAAATTATTCTGATAATCTAAGAAGGTGAGCCTTGAAGTATTAACGGTAAAGTTATCTTCATGTGACCTTATAGGTCACGGATTCGAGCAGTGGAACTAGCCACTAATACTTGCATTAGAGTAGACTGTCTACATCATACCCTTTGAGGTAACTGTCTACATCATACCCTTTGAGGTGCGGCTCTTCCATGTATCTTATGTGAATGCAAAATATGTTGTGCGGATTGTTTTTAATTATTATACTGATAATAAAAGATATTTAAATCACTATTTTTTTCCTTACCGTGATTAGATTTGGCATCAAAATGAGCTCCACTAGTTGTAAACCTAGCATAACATTTTCCCAAGAACATATCCCCATACGCAGCTCCACCACACTCACTTTTCAGCCGTCCGATTGCTTCTGATAAACAATCTTGACACTGGCCATTACTCAAATCACCAACACATTGGGCCACACCATGTACATCTAATGACCCACCAACTCTATAAAGCCCATCAGCCCCATTTAAACTTGTCAAAACACGGCCCATAGAATCCTCATTAAGCCCATTATTAGACGGCCCACATTTGTTCAACACACAAGTCTCGTCCTCAACACCAAGAAATGAAGTGTTATCATACTTTACAAAACACCCTTGTAATTGTAAAGCTCCACCACAGTTTTGTGAACAAAGTTTATCAACTTGACTCACTGCTTTGGCTACACAAGTAGCACAATCTGGCATCGATAAATCGCCGCGACATTGGTATACGCCGTATAATATGTCTTGTTTGGTTGATCCCATGATACTAAATTTGTTGTAAGATGAGTAAGTGGCTGAGTTAATAAAGGATGTGAGAAGGGAGTTGAGGTTTGATTCGTAAGGTGAGTTTGGTGTGTATTTTATCTGTGAACAGCCACCGTAGACGAAAGAATCGACAGAAGAATCGGAGGAGATGACATGAAAGAAGAAAGAAAGGGAAATGGCTATGAGAGTAAGAAGAAAATGGAGTTTTTTGGCCATGTTTGAAATTGAGAGAGTATGTACGTACTATGATGAGAGAGATAGAGTGTGTGCGTATGTGTGTGTGTGAGAGAGAGAGAGAGAGAGAGAGGTATTTCTATGGCTGTTTCAACGAGTATTTAAGCACAATTGCATAAAGGTTTGAGTTGTTTTTTGGTTATAGTTTGCAAATATATGGCATGCAAAAGGTTTAGAGGGAGGAAAAAATAACACAAAGTTATGGTGGCCAGCCTATTCGTGCCTTTTCATTTGTTACCTTTTCATAAGTTATTTAAAATTAAAAAAGAGAGTAACTTTACTTGGTTACTTAACCAAGTAAAGTTTTGCTTTTCTTAGCTATAGTATAATACTATTTCGTTTTGAAATCTTGTATATAGGTATGTTTGCATGAAATGCATGCATGTATGTATAGTTCTTTTCTCTCATTTAGGGCGTGTTTGGTACTAAAGAAAATGTTTTACATAGAAAATATTTTCCTAGAAAATATTTTCATGAAAAATGAGTGGTTTTATGACTTATTTTCCCTTGTTTGGTTGGTAAGTGAAAAAAAATTTTCGAAAAATATTTTCTAGTGTTTGGTTATAGTGTAGAAAATATTTTTTAGAAAAATAATTTTTTATGCTACTCTCCTCACCCCCTTCCCCTAAGTCCTCATGTTTCTTGTGCTCTCCTCTCCCCCCTCCCCCAAATTCAAGAATTTAATTATTCTTCTAAAAATTCACACAAACCCAAAGGAATTAATGTTTTGCTTTACTTTTTTACACAAAAATAACGTTGAAATTTGTGCTCTATAACTAAAAAGAAAATATTCTTTTTTTGGTTGAAAAAGAAAGTACTCTTTCTATAACATGAAAATAAAGTACCCATTTTGTTGAACCGAAAGAAAATACTTTTTTTTTTACATCATGAAAAGAAAATACTCATTTTGTTGAAATGAAAAGAAAATACTCTTTTTGTTAAAATGAAAGAAAATATGTTTTACTACTCTTTTTGTTGAAATGAAAAGAAAATACTCTTTTTGTTAAAATGAAAGAAAATATGTTTTACTACTCTTTTTGTTGAAATAAAAGAAAATACTTTTTACTACATCATTTTGATGAAATGAAAGAAACTACTTTTTCTAAATCATGAAAAGAAAATATTCTTTTTGTCGAAATGAAAGAAAATACTGTTTACTACTCTTTTTGTTGAAATGAAAGAAAATATNTTAAAATGAGTTCATGAGGAAAATGTTTTCATAACATTTAAGCCAACCAAACATGGGAAAATTGGAAAATATTTTCCGAAAAATATTTTCCTTCGTACCAAACACACCCTTAGTTTACTATCCTTTTTAATGAATGATACAGTTGAGCTTTATGTTAATTCTGATTCAAAGAAACAAAATATATAATATTTCACGCTGTGTATTCTTTTCTGTTTATGTAATTGACTAAAATTAGATTAATACATGAAATTTAGTGTTTGTTTTCTAAGACATAAATTCTTTTTCATTCTTTTCTTTCTAACTATCAAATTATTCATTATCGTCCTTCGAATGTTGTCATTTACTTAGAGATAAAAACACAAAATTAAGCAAAATTATGAAACAAGTCAAGAGGACAATAATGAAGGGAATTTTTATTAATCAAACAGAATTAAGACAGGGACTGATTTCCTAAGCAGATAATTTCACTAGGGTACTACTTTTCTGGCTTTTGGCTACATTAAATCTTTGAGTAAAGGACTGATCTCTTGCAGTTGGATGTTTGATTATCACTTCATAATCTCCATGATATAATGAAGTCTCAAAGTAACCATTATCATTAGTAGTCCCAATTAAGCCCTGATGACTTAATTGTCTCATAAAATTATCCACAACATCCCCAGTAGGCAAATTCTTGAAATCATTATCAGTTAAACACATTTTATAACATCCTTGTGGTTGCCATGGTGACCAAATCATTATTCCATTTACTCCTGGATGTGCATGAAGTTCCCACATTATGTCATTCAAATACTCTGCCTGCAATCCAAAAATCCAAAAAATAAAATAAAATTATGACAAGTTTAACTTTTATGCATGGACAGACGATGTATACATTTTTATGCCATCAGATTAAATTGACCTACAATACCAGATACGTGGTTATAGTAAGTCTGATTTGATAACTTGAAAAATAAAACAAATAATCACAAGTTAAGTGACATACGATAACAGCGTGTTTATACTAAGTCTGATTTGATAACTTGAAAAATAAAGTAAATAATCACAAGTTAAGTGACCTATAATAACAACGTGTTTATACTAAGTCTGATTTGATAACTTGAAAAATAAAGTAAATAATCACAAGTTAAGTGTGTCTATAGTAAGTTTGATTCAATAACTTGAAAAATAAAGTAAATAATCACAAGTTAAGTGACCTATAATAACAACGTGTTTATACTAAGTCTGATTTGATAACTTGAAAAATAAAGTAAATAATCACAAGTTAAGTGACCTACAATAACAACTACATAAGTGTCTATAGTAAGTCTGATTTGATACTTGAAAAATAAAGTAAATAATCACAAGTTAAGTGACCTACAATAACAACTACGTGTCTACAGTAAGTCTAATTCGATAACTTGAAAAATAAAGTAAATAATCACAAGTTAAATGACCTACAATAACAGCTACGTATATAGTAAGTCTGATTTGATAACTTGAAAAATAAAGTAAATAATCACAAGTTAAGTGACGTACAATAACAAATGCGTGTCTATAGTAAGTCTGATTTGATAACTTTAAAAATAAAGTAAATAATCACAAATTAAGTGAGGGCTAGTTTTACCTGAAGGGGTCTGCTTGAAACATCTAATTCTGTAATCCATATAGGCAAATCTGCAGTTGCAAGAATATCAAGTGCACTTCTAATATAAGGTATATTTGGAGTATCAAAATGACCTTGAAGTCCAATTCCAAGAGGTCCATTATACCCCATTGATCTAATTTCTTGAATCTTGGCCAAGTAATTAGCTGGATTTGCAACCATATCATCAGGATTTTCAATAGTACTATACTAATTCAAGAACAGAATAGTATTGCTATCCATATCATGAGCCTTCTTGTAAAAATAAGCCGAGGCGTTTTCGCCTAGCTGGCTTTCTAAATATGAAAAATGTATGTTTTCATTGTCAACATCCCAATGCATCATTTGGCCTTGATATCTTGGTACTAACGAGTAAAATCTCCTTTCAACTGCTGCTGATAAAAGGGGAGGTGACAACGTTTTCGCCCAAGAAGGCAATTGATCTTTATTTTCCCAAACTATGTTGTGTCCGCGGACTAACATGCTATAATTCTTGACATATTGAAGCATAGCATCAGCCAAATGGTAGTCTTCTTTGCCCTGAATTGGCTCAGTAAACCACCACTTCATTTCGTTCTCGAAAACAGTTAACTTGAACCTGGAATTGTACCATGCTACCAAAATGACAAAAATAAAGTAAATTAATTCACCCAAACTAAACAACTCTAATTCATTTAATTGATTACTGACAGTGTAAAAATATCCTTCACATTATCAGTATAATTTAACATGTATTTTACGTATAGTAAGTTGCTTATTTTGTTTATGAGACACCAAGTTAGACTTATTATAAACAGTCATACACTTCGTTTGAGAAATTTTATACTCTTATTTAAATTAATAAAGGAAAGAATGTACCTGAAATAGTGTACATTTTGTCTTTCTCAACATAAAATCTTTGAGAAAAGCTATCAGATGGTTGTGTTCTATGAGAAGCAACAATGAAGACATTGCCTTCTTTTGATGTTCTTGTCTCAATTCTTGCACTTCCAAATTTTGTCCATCCATTTAATCCATTGTTGAGTTCTGGATTTATAGCAATTCCTCCACTATATTGTGGATTTAGAGGTCTTTCCAAACACTATAGAAACATGCATAGTAAGAAAAATCCATCAATTCAAAATATATTTTTTTTCGAAAAAAGAATTTTAATATACAGGGAAAGACATGTAAATATATCTTATAAATCTTGCCTTTGAAGTGAAATAGTAGTCATAGCCTATGGCATACACTTGAAATCCTGCAAAAATATTGTCATTTAAAATATAAGGAAAATATAATGTAATTTATAACTTAATGTAATTTAGTGGAAAGACAGATTAACCTGCAAAAAAGAAGTAACAAGATAAGAGTACAACGTGACGCAGAACATTATTATTTCTCTTGAATGTCTTCATAGTTGCAATTTTTAATGTTGTGAAATCATAAAATGAGAGACAAATTTATATGTAGCAAAATTTCCACAATTCGTTGCTTAATGAATGATTATACTTGAATTATTAAGCATTCTTGGGCAAGTTCTCTTATCATTCATACGATCATGCTATAGCTGTATTTGTTTTTTTTTCTTTTTTGCAAATTTACCTGATGTAGCAAGTTACTAGCCTTATTTAAATTTTCAGGTTGCTAATCCACTATATTATGAATGAACGTTAACTTGTAGTTATTTTTTAACAGTTCTTATATTTAATATATAAAAATTACATTATCAGTGTATAGAAGTTAAACTCTTTTAGTTACCACCATAAGTTATGGTGGAATGGATAGAATCCCTTCATCCTTAACAAGACGTCTCGAGTTCGAGGTCTGGCATTGAAAAACTCCGGCATGAATTTGAATTAGACGGACCAGTGAATTTCGGATATTGAATGATTATAAAAAACACTTTTAATTTAGCACGTTATTTTCTTTTCTTTCTAGACTACTTCGTTTATGGTCATAAATTAACGAGCAATTCTCATTGAAAAAAAAGCTCATTATCCTTAGACGCTCACCATGGTTTCATTTAATTACTAATTTTCAGTAACAATCACTTACCCTTAACCCCGTTCACAACAAACAAATCTTCCTAAAAAAAGAAATAAAAATAATAATAGAACTGCAAAGAAACAAAAGAAAGGAAATTAATCAGAGGAAGCTGTTAACATTAATTCGTGAAATCAAGGCAAATTGTTAGAGAAATTATTGTGTTGCATTTGTAATATTGCCCACATGAGTAGTACAGGAAATAAAACAAAAAAAAAATGTAACAAACTCCACTAATTGAACGTGTTGCTTCTAACAAACTGAACTAACCAGCTAACTATTCCCAGGTAATTAACAAATTGACCAGCCATTTTTCATCTTAGTTAAGTTGTAACACAAATACAGAAAATATAAATGTTGTTACTCACTAATCACTATCACCCTCCCTCTCAAGTTGGTGTTGGGGTCAAAGAAACCACACACTCTACTTGGAAAAAATGTCATCACTCTATCAGACATGACATTAGTCGGCCAGAGGCGCAAATTTATGATTTAAACCTAATGAGTTCAAAATTGATATTATGAGTTTTCAAAATTTATTATTTTTAATATTTTCACAATTTTTCACACACACATATATACTAAAATATTGGATTCAATCAAATCAATACTCAAAACTATAGGTCGAGTTTTGCTGCCTGTTGTCAATCTTTGGGTAAGTAATTAAGACAATATGAAATTAATCAGTCCTTGTGACAATTCTTTTTACAGGAAGTAACGGCTCAACTTAATGTGTTTGGTTCTTTTTACTTCCAACAAATAGGATAATGTTAAGTTGATCATAAACTAGAAATACTTTTATTGGAATATGGGCAAAGCTGCATAAAAGGTTCAAATGGATATAATCAATGTTGGAGATAACATTATATTGGATAATCATTTTTAGAGGCCACATATATATATTACTTCTGCACTGTGATGCTTCATTTAATTTGACATAGCACTACTTGGGACTTGATTAGGTTTATGTTATGCAATTTATAGTTGTAAGAGCTTTGTACTTAGCTGGGTGCAATTGATACAATGTAATCTATACTATATTAAAATCACGAATCGTTCGTCTTTTTTACCCTTTAAAAATTGAGTTCAAACTAGACAAAATTGTCATTCTAATTAATTCCATAATATTTAGGAATTAGGAATAGTCATTTAATTTTACTAGAAATCTTTCCTTATTTAAAATATATATGACTCTTAACATTTAGGAATAGTCATTATTGTTCGTATGATAGTTAAACCTAATAATATGAAGTCTTTTTTTTTGTATTTTTCTGTATGATTTCCGGTAAGGAATAAGATGAAATTTATATTATGTACTTGAGAAAATAGAATTTATTTTTTAATGCCATGAAGAATATAATGTTGTTACAAGATATATTTAAGTATGAGTTAGCATATTATTCTATCATGTCGAGCAACTAAAGTAAATGCACAGTTCATATACCAAAATCATGATAAGACATTAGAATAACTTTATGTGATGTACGTAATTTGTTTTATTAAGTTAACTATATATTATCAATATATCATTTTCAACAGCTTGCGTTTTTTCTAGTTTTATTTTATTAACTCAATTACATCGGTTAATAATATTTGTGTAATTTTAAAAAAACTTATACTCACAAAAGCTAGTAATCTTTAAATGTGCCAAACTATGTTTTACTGTTTTTCCTTTATAAGATAGCATTGTTTTTTGTCGACGTAGTCTTTGCTTTCTGGTGCAATGGTGAGTTGGGCTTTTAAACAATTTTAACTTTATTTTAAGGGTTAGATTGTTTAAATTAAAACAAAAAGAAAAGGAAAGAGGAGGACCTATATTTATTGAATTCAATTAAATTCACATTTTTTTAATTAGATCATAAATATATGTGAAAAAACTTAAAAAGTAGCATGAGTAATTAAAGTAGGTAAAATAATTTGTAATATAGCAATATATAAGAAAAAGTTCCAAGAACAAACGGGAGAGAACATGAACTGGTTAAGGCAGGGGGATTTGCAGTCGTACCCTATATTTGTGCCACCTTTTAACCTGTACCCTATTTTTAAAAATTATTGATTTGGTAGCCAGTTGACAAAAAATCCGTAATAATATGACAATTACACCCCTGATAGTATTAGCATTAGCATGCTACTTTGGAGATGACCTCATTCGCATTAGCATACTGTAAAACAAGCCCTGATAAACGTAGCAGCATGCTAACGTTTGGAGATGGCGTTGTTTTACAGTACCAGGGGTTATTCATTAGCATGCGAGATGGTGTAAAACTTCAGCCAATTACAGTAGCAGCCGAAGTTGTTTTACATTGAAACTAAAACTTTATGCTAATACATGCTGAAATTATTTATCCTGCAGTCAATAATTTTGTCATGAGTTTTATCCAAAACTTCAGTCTAAACATGCTGAAGTTATTTAGTTCATTTGCTAAAATTTCATACTAAACATGCTGAAGTTATTTAGTTTATTTGCTAAAACTTCAGTTTAAATATGCTGAAGTTATTTAGTTCATTTGCGAAAACTTCACACTAAACATGCTTAAGTTGTTGTCTTGTAATATGTAATTTCTAATGAGTTTTTGCTAATGCATGTTGAAGTTATTTAGTTCATTTGCTAAAATTTCAGACTAAACATGCTTAAGTTATTTAGTATGTGAGCACCTAATTTTTTACCGTGCTTGAATATTTCCCGTTCTCATCTTCCCATGCGTGTCCCCACTCTTTGTCCCCCACACTTTGTCCCCACTCCATTTTCTCTTGTCCCCCATGCTTGCCCTCATTCTTGTCCCCCCACACTTTGTCCCCTCTCCACTTTTCCTTGTCCCCCACTCACAAACTCCATACCACTCTCTCTACCCATTAAAAACAGCTCAATTCCTTTCTTCAAAGGAGGAAGAACATCACAGAACCCTCCCCCATTTTTGGAAATCAGCCGCACCTCCCAAAAAGAGAAAGAACGGCCCAGCACTCATCCCTTTCTTTACCGTCTAACCTCCATTCCCTTCAAAAGAAATCAATCGAAATCTACACAAGAAAAGAATAAAAGGAACCCCCCACACACAAGAACAACAAGAAAACGACGGAGGAATTTAGCAAAACAAGATTGGACCACTCCATTTTCCACTTCGCCGTTGGTTTCCTTTCTTTTTTTTCGGTAAAAAAGCAGAAAGATTACCACTTCAAGCATAGGAGTCCCAAATCTTATTGTTATAAATGGATTGAATTTGTTTTCCTCTTTTGGAGAACCCTTGCTGCATTTGCTGGCTCTTTTTTTCTTCTTTTCTCAAATGATGGAGTTTCGTTTGAGCCGAGGTTGATTCCGGTTCGATCGAGGTCTTGTTCGAGGTTCACGGTTCCGATCCTGTAAGCTTTGTATTGATGTGTTCTAAACAGGCGTGGCTAATAGCTATTGATTTTGTACGTGAAGTTTCATTATAAATTGAAGAAAGTGTCGTATTGAGGTGCATTCTTAATCCTTCCTCTGTTATTTTGCTCCTTTTTAAATTCGTGTGTAGTTTTTGCTATAAGATTTGGATGAATGGTGATGCTTTTTATTTAAATATATGTGTTTGTTTATGAGAAGTCCGTTGCTGATTTTTGTTTAAATCTGCTAATGGGTAGCTTATTCCTAGATTCTAGTTCTTATTGCTGTTGGAAACCCAATGCATTTGACCTTTTTGTCTTACCTATGTTGTATTTATACATCTTATTCTACACCTTTTGTTGCTTGATTTGATATGAAGAATCAAAGCAGCACAGATAAAAGTGGTATTAACTTTGACGAGTTGGTAATATGATTGTATGGTGTAGGAGTAAAATATATATAAACCTTAGTGTCGGGACTTGTACCAAATGTTGGTAAGAGCAACTGACTGGTATTTGGGATATAAATGTGATGAACTAGCATAAAGTGACTAATATCTTGAGACAGGAGGAGTAAATAGCTTTAGGCGCGATTAATAAATTATCGTGGTCATGGGCACGGTTTCCGTGGCATGGTCACGATACGTAAATCCCAATTCGAGTGTACCTTTCACGTGACTCGACCATAACTCCAAATCAATTAATAATAAAAATCAATATGTTGTAGGTCGCGGGTGTATTTCACGTGACGCGATTCGCAATATGTACAAAAAACAATGAGCGCGCGACATCGCGACTTATTTAAATATACTCCATAAATTCTAAAAGCAATTAAAACTCAATTAAAAGCGCGTAGAAAGTTAAAAATATACAATAGGTTTTAAACATGTAATAAATCAGATAGCAGGCCAATTATTAATAGTTGAGCGACCGTGCTAAAACCACGGAACTCGGGAGTGCCTCACACCTTCTCCCGGGTTAACAGAATTTCTTACCCGGTCTTCTGGTTTCGCGGACTTTAA